AAATAATATATATATATATATATACACACACAATATATGCAATAAAATATTATAAAAAAATATCAAATAAAATGTTATAAAATATTAAATGTTATAAAATTAAGTATTTCATACCTAGTATGTGATGTAACATCTATATCTGTTTTAAACAGTCACATATACAAGATTTTTGACAATTGAAAGAAGTTCACCGTGACCGATGCTCTCGTGGATCTTAATTTAACATTTTATTGTCTGTTCCTCGTCTCAGTTTTGCGGTGAAGCTGTCGGTTCGGACGTTCGCTCGCAGCGGCGTTCTCTTCTACATGGCCAACGCAAACCAGCAGGATTACGCCGTTCTGCAGGTGCTGGGGCAATGCAGTGAATGATGATATAGCTTTGATGGTGAATCACGAGCTGGATTGATACTGTGTGTGTGTGTATGAAGTTCTAGAACAGACGGTTCCTCACAGTGCCGGTCAGTCGGGGTCAGAGGTCACCGAGGTCACTGACCCTAACCCAAGCATTTACAGAACCGCAATGTATTGTTGGCTATTGCTACAAATATACCTGTGCTACTTATGACCGCTTTTGTGGTCCAGGGTCACATATGACATAACAGCCTGTGTGTGTGTGTGTGAGAGAGATAGTTAGTGTGTGTGTGTGTGTGAGAGTTAGTGTGTGTGTGTGTCTGTGAGTGTGTGTGAGAGAGAGAGTGTGTGTGTATACATTCTGTTTTCATTTTCATTTTAAAGATTTAGTAATTTTGTCTTTTTTTACATTTATCTATATAATATTTATAAATTTTTATTTATTAGTTTTTTTGTTTTGTTTTATGCATTTGAGTTTTTTGTGCAATTTAGTTTATATAGTATTAGTATTTAATTTTAATTTTAATTTTTTTGTTTATTTTATACAATTTTGTCTATATAGTATTTATTTATTTTTTTCAGTTTATTATATGCATTTTAGTTATTTATGCAGTTTGTCTATATAGTATTTATTCATTTTTATTTACTAGTTTTAGTTTGTTCTTTGATGCAATTTGTCTATATATTATTTAGTTTTTTTTATTAATGTGTTTTAGTTATTTTAGTATGTCAACTTAAACTAAAATAAAAAAACACGAAAAATAGCTGAAATAAAATTTTCCATTTTTAATATCTTTGTTTCTTACATTTTTTTAAGTTATGATTTTTTTTTTTTTTATGGTTTTAGTTTAGTTAACGATAATCTCTCTGGTCCAATCACACATTTACTTCCCCTCTTTGTTTTGATCATTGGCTGTTATTTCCTGGAGCTCCTCGTGTGATTTCCAGTGGTGTGTGCTGATGGTTAATAGCGTGCTCGTCCCGTCACAGGTGGTGTTTAACGTGAATAACGGCGCGGGCCGGATCACTGCGCGCAGCAGGAGCGCTGTGTCCATGTGTGACGGCCGCTGGCGCACCCTGGTGGCCAAGAAGCAGAAGCACAGCTTGAGTCTGACCGTAGACGGTGTGACGGTGACCGCGGAGAACCCGTACTCATCCTCCACCTCAGCCGAGACCAAAAACCCCATCTATGTGGGTGGATACCCAGGTATGGAGTTTCTGAGTCTGAGCACTGATTTTAATGCAGTTGTGTCAGTTTATCGTGTTACAGCGTGTCCTAACTACACGCTACGCGACAAACACTTTGGCTGGGCTCTCTCGAAATGGATAAGTTTATAATCTAATTCATAAATATTAAACCTTTTTAACATTACTAAATGCTTTAATGTATATGTGTCCCTGCAGCACAAAAGCAGTCATAAGTAGCACAGGTATATTTGTAGCAATAGCCAACAATACATTGTATCGGTCAAAATTATCCATTTTTCTTTTATGCCAAAAATCATTAGGATATTAAGTAAAGATCATGTTCCATGAAGATATTTTGTACATTTCCTACCGTAAATATATCAAAACTTAATGTTTGATTAGTAATATGCATTGCTAAGAACTTCATTTGAACAACTTTAAAGATGATTTTCTCAATATTTAGATTTTTTTGCACCCTCAGATTCCAGATTTTCAAATAGTTGTATCTCAGCCAAATATTGTCCTATCCTAACAAACCATACATTAATGGAAGCTTATTTATTCAGCTTTCAGATGATGTATAAATCTCAATTTCATAAAATTATGACTGGTTTTGTGCTCCAGGGTCACACATGGTTGTTTTAATTTATTTTCAGGATCTGAGGTAAACTAGCTGTTGTTATTTTCAGTATGGCTATAAATGTCACGCAATATGATATCCAAACTCACATTAGACACGTTTAACTTAAAATAAAGCACATAATCAGTACCTGAGATGTTGTATGTTGTTGCTCCAGCCGCGACGTCGCAGAAATAGAAACCGTTTCTAAAATAGAAATTTTGCACGTCGTGTGTAGTTAGGACACGGTGTTATGGTGGACAGTGTTATCGCGAGTTACATAATCAGATTACTTTTTTAAAGTAACTAGTAAAGGCATTACTTGTTAATTTAGAAGGAAGTCTGAGTTACTTTGTTTCCATGTGTTGAGTGACAGCTCTGGTGTTGCCATGGTGACAGAAATCAGGAGACAAATATTGTTTATGTATTTAATCCCATTTTATGAACAAATGTCTTTGCTGCTGACCTTCAATCATACTAATAATCAAAAATGACACATTTGTGTTTAATTTTAGTTATTGCTGAATAGTGTTGAACTTTCTTCTCCTGCATCATATTCTTCATGAGATTAGTTTGAGCTGCGCCCTCTACTGTACAGACGTGAAATTACATTTCCTTCAGCCTGAGACGCATTCACTTCTCTTTTGTTGTGAAAGGGGGTTTAACATTTGTAAAATAACTTTTTATATTAAAAACAAACAAGTAAGCACTTCCCAGATTTAAAAAGTAACTCAAAAGTAACACATTACTGTCCATAAAAAGTAACTAAGTAACATAATTAGTTACTTTTTCAGGAAGTAACGCAACATTGTAACGCATCACTTTTAAAAGTAACTTTCAGTGTTTCTGTGTTCTCTCGCAGCGGATGTGAAGCAGAACTGTCTGAGCTCCAGAGAGCCGTTCCGTGGCTGCATGAGGAACCTGCGCGTCTTTAAGGGTCACGTCACTGATGAGCTGGACTTCAGCGCCGCCTTCGCTCACCCACACGTCTTCCCTCACTCCTGCCCGGATAACGCTGCGTAAACACCTCCGGTTCATGCAAACACAGCTCAGTCCTTTTGTACTGAGAAGGTCTTGTCTAATAATGTTTGTGAATCGCAACATGTTTAGATTTCAGGGTTTCTGCTGGTCTTAAAAAGTCTTAATTCACCCTTCCACGAATTAAAGCCTTAAAAAGTATTAATTCAGAGCAGAAAGTCTTAAATAACTGTTGCATGCACTGGAAAAATAACTAAATCTTCAGTATTTCTGTCTTGTTTTCCAGTACAGATATCTAAACATCTTTAAATCAAGACACATTTACTGGAGATGCGAAATGAAGACATATGAAGAAATTAAAATTGAGTTTATGCTTAAATCAAGAAAAAATGTCAGTACTGTGTGGAAAATGTGTTTTACTTTTGAATGAAGTTAATTTTTTTGGAGCCTATTAGCAGGTTTTTGTAATTGTTTTAATCATAAGATCTTTTTTTTTAGAGCAGCGGCAAAGTAAATTTTAGTAAATAAAGCTTGTTTTTACGACTTTTTTGTGTATTGTGACATTATTTTAATGAGATTTAAACATTCAAACGCATTCAAATTCCTGTAAAGATTTTTTTTTTTTTTTAAATCAAACAAAAATAAATATACATGATTATTGTAATAAATCAGGGCATTTTACTTATGTTCAATATTGAACAATTTATGCTCAATTATGATTCTCATTAGTCTCATTTCTGTCATTTTTAGTCATTTCTACAGTAAAAATAAACGTATTAAATCAGTAAAGTTAAAGGAGCTACAACAATATCAGATTTTTATAAAACAAGACTTCTTACGTCATTTCGCTTCAAGTAAATGTATCTTGATTTAAGAATCCTTCAGACATTTGCACTGGAAAAATGCCTAAAATAGTGAAGATGAACGGTGTGTAAAAGTCATTTCCATTTTCTAGTGTTTGAAAGCAGAGCTTTTTTTTGTAAAAATGAATTAAAAAGTAATGTAGATCTGTTGGAATGCTAATAAAACTCACTGTGCTCCCTAGACATTTACATTACATAGAGATCATACTGACGTCAATTTATTCCTTACATTTTCTGTACTTGTTCTTAAATGTGCCTTCATACAGCCTGCAGAAACCCTGCTCGTTAATAAAACGCTGGTTGTTTCTTAGTTGAGCGTTTTGTTTGTTTTACTGATGAAATTTCCGACTCGTCAACATTCCTTCACTATCAGAGAGATTGCAGAACATTCCAGAGCCCTGATCCCGAGATTCACACACACACACTCTCTCTCACACACACACACACACTCACACACTGACATTGGTGTTAATATTTATCTGGTTTAATTAGAGGTAATATTGACCTGTGTTGATGAATCTCACAAGAACACGTACAGCTCATACTTCACTCCGAAACCCAGTGGCAAAAATATATTTAGCTTTGCTTATAGTATATATATATATATATGTGTGTGTGTGTATGTATATTTATATATATATACATACAGTATACTATACTATTATGCTCAATATTCGCAATGATTCTCATTAGATTCTCAATTCTGTAATAGTAATTTTTACAATAAAAATAAACTTAATACATTAAATCAGTAAAATTAAAGGAACAACAAAAAAATCCCATTTCAGTAATTCATCACAATAATGAGATTTTGGAGCAAATTTTTTTTTTTTTTCATGAAAATAATGTAAAAAAAATATCTCTATAATCTTCATTTCTTCTTTCAGTCTTGTGATTTCAGGGTGAAATACGCACCGCTCGAGTTCTTCACAGGTTCAGTGAGGGTTCGTAGTGTTTAAGTTCACATGGCTTCATCACAAACATGCAGCGTATATAAACAATACAAAATCATTATCATACAGCGGGATAAATTAGTGGTATAAATATTATGTACATGCTCTTTTTTACACTGGCTAGTGGTATAAAGCGAGGAAACATGCGTCCTGATGAGGGCTTCTGATCGGAAGGTCACACAGTTTTGGCACCAAACAAACTCAATGACCAGCATTGAACCGCAGCGGCGGATGTTTGACCCCTGACCTCTGACCAGCTGCAGTAAACATGCTCCTTCAGGTCAGCCGTGACTTTAACATCCATTCACAGTGAGGGTTAACACGGTAAACGTCTAGTAAATGTGCGTCTGGATCCAGGCAGCGCTCGCCTAGAGACAACAAGACTTCAGATTAATATGTACTGTGTTTTTAAAAGGACATTAATATTCAGTCAGACAATATTCATCTGAAATCAAATTTGTTTCATAATTGAACTTTCAAAGTCATAATTATGAGGTCAAATATGACAAATTTAAAACTGACTTTAAAAGTCGAAATTATATATATATATATTAAATCAAATGACATTATATCATAATTTGGATTTTTTTTTAAATATAATTTTGACTTTTAAAAGTGATAATTTTGACATTAATTTCTATTTTTTTATGTCAATTATGACTTAACGTGTCAGTTTCTACTTCTTGCCAATTATTTTGACTTTGTCAATTTCAATATTTTTGTCATAACTTCAACTTTTAAAGTCATAATTATGACTTAGTATTCTGCATCATCATTAAAACTGATGTCTGCTCTTCTAAAATATAAAATAAATATTGATAACTATAACTAATATAAATGACAAAGCGCAGCAAAATTACTAAAAGTGTAAAATTTTAATGAAAACTAAATAAAAACTAATTTAAAACATTAAAAAAAACACGTCTCAAAAACACAAATAACACTGTTTATCTTTTATTACCAGGAGTTTTAAGTTACTCACAAATAGCAATTATACAGTCAAACCAAAAATGTATTCAGACACTTCAGCATTTCTCACATTATATCACAGTTTATTGGCTATAGTTTAGAAAATGGTAATAAAATATGAGCAGAACTCATATGTAATGTAATGATATGTAATGAATTTGGTTGAATAGCTGTCAGCTGTCATCGGATGCCCATTTTCCACAAGTTGATATGATTCTTTAGGGTCTTCATGAAAAGTCTATAACATAATTTGGTTAAAATTTTTCAATGGTAGTGTAAAAAACACCTTTTTACCCTGTCAAAAACAGCTCTGTTATCACCAAGCCATTCTAGTCCATGTTGCTTTAAATGCTAATGAGCTCTGCTGACCCCGCCCCTCTCTTCCGTGGGGTGACC